GATTAGCTCAAGATGGTGGAGGCTGCAGGGTAGGGATTAGGGTCCTTATAGACGAGGCCCCAGAGAGATCCCTTGACCCTTCTCCAGGTGAGGGCTCGAAAAGATGATGGGCTCTCCCCAGAACTTGACCTTGCTGGCATCTTGAGCTCAGACTTGCAACATGCAAAAGGTGAGAAGTAAATGTCTGTTACTTACAAGCCCCTAGTCTGTGAAATTCTGTCACAGCAGCCCGCCTGGACTAAGACAAGTAGTTAGGCCCTCGGCTCAGATGATGGTAAGCAGATTTTTTAACCTTTGTGAATGTTTCAGGAGGACTTTGGGAAGTTGTGCAGTAATGGTTGGGGGAGGGGGGCAGTTCTCTGGGAATATTGCAAAACACACGGCATCCTGACTCCCCTCAGAAATTCAACTGGTCCTCCCGATCCAATTTTTGCAACAACAAAAAATACCACAACGAACTTCCCAGATACTCCACCAGGGAACTCCCTCCTCATGAAGAACCACTGCTCAGGAGCAAAGAGCCTCCTTCCCCCCGCATGTAGCTCCTCGCTCTGGGTTCTCAGATCAGAGGGACGCCTGCCACTCAAGACTGGCTCTAGGACAGGCCTGGACACTGCACGTTGTCGATAGTTGGAGCTTAACTGGCTAAGCCTTAATCATAGCCTTTGCATCTCTTATCAGCCAGAATCTCCCACCAGCTTCAGAAGGACTTTCAACAGGAACCAGGAGGAAGTGCAATTGACAAGTGTGTGACGCGTGGAGCTGTGTTTGAAACTAACTCGGGGCTTCTCAGGTGTGGTCAGAGGGTCATCTGTATCAAAGGAACTTGTTAAAAGTTTGGATCCCAGGCTCTACCTTCTCAATCAGAGCTCCGGGGCCTGTGGCCACGGAACCTGCATTTATAACCAACTCCCCAGGAGGCTCTGATGTCCTCAGGGTTTATGGGCCTCGGAAGTCATCAGGAACCACCGCGCCACACACAGGGGCCAGTCTGGTGAGGTGAAGGGGTCTGGGAGCCCCAGTAGGGCTGGCCCGCATCAAGCCCCACATGGCATTTTGGCTGTAACTCTGCAGGGGCAGCTTGGACGCACCGGGGCCCCCAAGTGGGCCCCCTGACTTCCCATTATCCCTTTTCAACCCCACCATTCCTGAAACAGCGAAAGATAGCCCCCTCTGTTAGGTCTCTTTTTTCCTCTTTTTAAAGAGGCAACTTCTTCTGACTTAGATCAGACGAATTCATATTCTGAATGTGCCTTTGTGTTAAAATAAGAGGGAAAAACTAGAAAAGAGTTAAGTGCTGTGGTCAAGGTTTCGAGGCTACAGATGTTCTTCGGATGACTGTCGGCCACAGTCGTATGTTTTCCCCTCTATGAGTCAAACCAAAAAAAATTTATTCCACTTTATATAACTCTGCAAACAGACTAGAATTCTCTCACTCCAAGTTTGCTTTTCTTGCATTTTAAGGTATTGGAGATTATTCCACTGATATTGGTGGCTCAGGTGGTAAAAAAATCTGCCAGCCAACGCAGGAGATGCAGGTTCCTTCCCTGGGTCAGAAAGGGCCCCTGGAGGAGGAAATGGCATGCCACTCCAGTGTTCTTGCCTGGAGAACCCCACAGGCGGAGGAGCCTGGTGGGCTACAGTCTGTGAGGTCAAAAAGAGGCAGACACAACTGAATGAGCATTCATTCCAGAACAAAGTGCTTTAAAGGCCCCTTTAAATAGCAAACCCCTAATGCCTTTAGACTAACTTGATTAGCAAGAACAAAACATTATTTCAAAATCACCTGTGACTTTAAAAATATTCTTGATGCAAGCAGGTGTCCCTGGTACACCTGTAACGCACTGCCTGCTGGGAACAGAGACAGCATTCCTCCTCGCCAGTGTCCAGTGGAAACAGTCACCAGGCTCGTCGTTCCGAGGACGAAGCTTGTTTGACTTATTACCTGAGGGAAAGGAAGCAGGCGACAAAGCTGGCTGATATTTTTGGAAAACTAGTTGACTGCAACATTTTGAGCTGGCCCTTAGCAAGATTAGATGTGGTGTGAGGAGCTGTCAAGCTTGCGCTGAGTCCTGGATATAACTCTCGAGAAAAATGAGGGTGTCGTAGACGTCTGGGTGTCTGCAAGAAGGTGGAGGAGAAGGTCCCCGAGTTCAAGGCGGCTGAGCTCCGGGAGGTCTGACAGCCAGCAGCCACTTTGTGATGACCAAACCACCTGCAGCCGGGAGCGTTACAGCGCCCTCTAGGGACCGCTGGCGGGACCGGCGTGGGGGCAGGGCGCAGTCAGCCTTTCTGCAGTGTTGTCACCACCTGTGTCCTCTTTATGCAAATACCCCATGATAGATGGCTGTGGTCTTCATAGCTATTGCATCAGTGATGACTTTATCCTGCATTTTTTGAAGGAGGTGGCTAAGTAGGGTGATTTCAGGTTAAGATCACAGACTTTGGAGTCTAGTTTTCCTTTTTTTTTTTTTGCGTTTTGTTTTTAATGTATATATATTATTGGAGCATAGTTGATGTACAATGTCATGTTAGTTTCAGGTGTACATCACGGAAATTCAGTTAGACATTCTTTTTCAGATTCTTTTCCCTTACTGGTTCTGTTTTTCCTTTCTCATCACAGTTCTGTCCCCTTTTTTCTCTATTCCTACCACTGCCCTCATCTATGCTTTGGGCCCCAGCCACTAACTATTCCCTGTCACCCGCCTCCCTGTCCTGGCTGCTGGGATCCTTCTAAGCAGAGATTCCCCCAGTGGCTAAAATGGTAAAGAATCTGTATACAACGCAGGAGACCCAGGTTTGATCCCTGGGTCAGGAAGATCCCCTGGAGAAGGGAATGGCTGCCCTTTCCAGTATTCTTGCCTGGATAATTCCATGGACAGGGGAGCCTGGAGGGCTAGGTCCACAGGGTCACAAGAGTCAGACACGACTGAGCAATCAACACTTTCTCTTTCTTTCACTTTCAGCATCTTCCAGCAGCTCCCCGACTTGAGAATAACATCCAAATTCCCCTTGGGACAGTTGGTCCCATCCACCCTAACGGTCGTCTTACCTACAACCTCTGCCCTGCACACATCCTGGGCACTCACCTACACATCCTGGGCACTCACACAGACTCAGGGTCCCTGGCCACCCCAGCAACTTGTAAGCACTGCCTGCCTTTGCCTCCAGCTAGACTGGCAGACTGACCCTTATTCCCTGGATATTTACCCACCCACCATCCTGTTACTGAGTCCCAGCTCGCTCTGCTCACCGCCTGACAAGCCAGTAAGTCCAGAGATGAGATGTTGGCACAAGGAATAGTGAAAAGCTAGCAGCCCCAGAAGATGATGGCCTACTGTCCGGAAGAGCCATCTCCCCCAAGTTAGGACTCGGGCTTCTTTTATACTAAAAAGGGGAGGGAACAGAGACTGGTTTCTGGCCCAACTCTGGAGGGGGTCTGTTAATTTCTTCCTTCCAGCAGCCATTCACAGGTGGGGCCTGGTCAGGGAATCTTCTGGGAGATTAACAAAGGTGTTGGAGCCTGAAGCTCATTCCCTGGCAGGTGGGGTTCCCAGAGATGGGCAAGCCATTATAACTTAAGCTTATAGCAGCATGCCTTTAGTGATTAACTTGTAACAACAGGAAGGTTTTTTTCTGTTAGAATCCAACACCTGGGACAAATCTGCACTCACTGATATTGAAAAGCACTTTACAGTTGACACAGGGCTTTCTCATCCTTGATCAGACCCCACACTCCGGTGGAGGTACTTTCTAATTGTCCAGGGGCGGGAACAGAGGTTTGAAAAGGTCAGTGGCCCACGTTAAGACTCTCCAGTGGTCTACCAGCCTCATTCTCCGAGGGCTGGGCGTGTAGGACGGAGGACTGCACAAGCGCTGGTGAGAGTCCGGGCCAGCGTGCATGGGCCACTGCACTGACTTCACCTCCCGCGCCCATGCCTCGTCCTTCAACAAGACAGGAGTTCGGAGTCTGGCTTGTTCCGAGGGTGAAATGAAACAATGCCTGTGGGGCGTCTACTAGGGCCTGGCTCGCAGCCGACACTACATGTGAGTTCCCTTACTGACCCGGAGCTCGGCGAGCTGTATCGGACATTGGCTCTTTCCTGGAGCTCCAAAGGCCACTGGGTGCCAACTGTGGAGCCCCGTGCGCCTTCGGACGCGATAGGGCGCTGCGGGGCTGGTGGTCACACCAGTCCTCAAACCAGTGTGGACTCCGGCCCAGCTGGAGAGTGGACTTCGGCCCAGCTCTGGCGGGGCGGAACTCGGCGGCCCTGGGAGGCCGGGCTGGATGCAGGGGCCTGGGGGGGGGGGGGGCATTGTTCCACGCCGGCACCACGAGGCGCACCCCTCAGAGGGCACACCGGCTGCCTCCCCCGCCTCCAGCCTCCTCCCACCCCACCTCGCCTTTACGCCTGCCCCCTTCCTCCCTCCCCCAGCTCCCGCACTGTCTCATGAGCCCCCACAAGCACGAGGGTCCCAGGCGGAGAGGGGAGAGGTTGGGGGCCCGCAGACCTCGCGCCGCCCGGGAGCGCAGCCCCGCCCCCACCGCCGCGCCGGCTGGCGGGACGCGGGACATGCGCACCGGGCGGCGGAGGGCGGGGGGGGCGCGGGCCCGGGCGGGCGGGGAGCAGGGCGGGCCGTGGGCGGGGAGCAGGGCGCTGGAGCGGGGAGCGCGCAGCCAGCGCAGCCGCCGGACTCGGGCGGGTGTACGAGCCTGGCGCGCCGCTTGCCGGGGATGCGAGAGGCTGGGAGCCGCCGCGCCGGGAGAACGCGAGCACCAGTGACCTCGGCCCGAGGAGAGCCGGAGACGGCGGCGAACCCCGCAGGGATCCTCGGGGCCGGGGTGCGGGGCCGGCGGCGGCGCAGGAGCGCGGGGCGCAGACCGGGCGGGGCTGGCGGACAGTGATGAGCGGGCGCGCGGGGAGGCTGCACGCCGCCGCCGCCGCCGCCGCCCGGAGCATCCGCCGCCCGAGCTGCTGCTCGCGGCCCGGGCCCCGGCCATGGAGACGCTGAACGGCCCCGCGGGTGGCGGTGCCCAGGACGCGAAGCCGCAGCCGCCTGGCCAGCACCACCGCCACCACCACCATCTCCACCCGCTGGCGGAGCGGAGACGGCTGCACCGCGCGCCCTCGCCAGCCAGACCGTTTCTCAAGGACCTGCACGGTCGGCCCGCGGCTCCCGGCCCGGCCGCCCCCTCCTCGGGCCGAGCCCCGGCGCCCGCCGCCCCGCGCTCTCCCAGCCTCGCAGGCAAGGCGCCGCCTTCGCCGGGGCCCCCGGCCGCGCCCGGCCGCCTCTCCCGGCGGAGCGGCGGCGCCCCCGGCGCGAAGGACAAGCCGCCGCCGGGCGCCGGGGCCAGGGCAGCGGGCGGCGCTAAGGCCGCTCCGGGCCCCAGGAGAGTGGCACGCGCGGCGCCCGCCGAGCCGCTGCCCCGGGTAGGGAAACCGCCGCCCGGGGCCGAGCCGCCGCCCGCCGCTTCCAAGGGCCGCAGAGCCAAACGCGCCTCCGGAGCGGTCCCCGCCCGCGCCTCCGGGCCCCGGGTCCCCGCCGTCGCGGTCCCTGCCGTGATCCTCGCCGTGACTTCCGCGGCCGGCTCCTCGGCCCCCGGCTCGCGCATCAGCCACACAGACAGCAGCTCCGATCTCTCCGACTGCCCCTCAGACCCTCTTTCCGACGAGCAGCGCCTGCTCCCCGCCGCCAGTAGCGACGCCGAGTCCGGCACGGGCTCCAGCGACCGGGAACCTCTGCGAGGAGCCCCCACGACCAGCCCCCCAGCTCGGGGGGCGCCGCCGGGCAGCCCCGAGCCCCCGGGACTCCTCGCCGCGACCCCCGCCGCCTGCCTTGGGGGTCGGAGCAGCCCCAGCGGGGTCCCCTCGGCGTCCCCGGGGCCCGGCGTGGTGGAGGATGTCGCGGGGCGAGCACCGCCGGAGCGAATGGGCCCCGGGACCCCCAGGGATCACGGGCCGGGCGAGCGGCACCGGCTGGTCCCGGCGGCGGAGGAGGAGGAGCTGCTGCGGGAAATGGAGGAGCTGCGCTCGGAGAACGACTATCTCAAGGTGCGCAGCCTGCCCCGCCGCAGGTGTCCCGGCGGCGGTCCCAGGTCTGGGTGCGGGCGGGGCCCCGCGAGCCCCGGCGTCCCGGCCACGAAAGCGCTTCCTCCCGGTGCCAGTCACTTTCCTGCGCCCGACACGCCGGGCGCTGGGAACTTGAGCCAAACTTACGGAAGGAGCAGCGAGACCTGTGGGTCCAGCCGCTTCTCCACCCACTTAGCTTGTTTCTAGAAAGTCTCGCGTGGCTCGGATGCCTCTGCCCCAGTTGATGCTGCGTTAACTAGAGAGGCGGCTGTGACTGCTTTTTGGAGCAGTCGACCCCCTGCCCCCTCACCTGTGGGCGCGGATTGTCCCCAGCCGAGAATCTCAGCGGGAGCCCGTGGGCCGAGTGCGGGTCACGGAGGGTGCAGCCTTTTCTTCCCCTTCTCCTGCAGTTAAGAAGGCCGGGTGCTCTCCGAGTCTCCCCCGGGTGCAGACAGCCGGGTCAAGCCGCTTTCAGTGATAAACCTACGGCTCAGGAGTCCCTTGAGCGCGGCCTGGGTGGAGAGACCATGCTGTCTTGCTGGCTGGGCCTTTGTACGCGTCCACCAGCCGGTTTTTCGGTGTCAGGAGAGGCCACTCGTGCCCGCTCTTTTGAGGGATTCGCAGCCTCTGCGTCCATCGAGCGCTTTGCGGCGCGGCCTCCTCTGGGTGGCTTCTGGGTCTTGGTAGCTTTGGGGCACAAGTCTGACTCCATGTTTTCCAGGAGGAGGAGGAGAGCAGGCCTGCAGAAAAGAGGATTTAGACCGTGTGAGGTGGGGAGGTCAGGGCACGCCGGGTGACTCCAAAGCAAGGAGGGTGGTAGTGAATGCATCCGCCTTAATTTATTGTGATGCTCAGGTTAGTCAACAGCTCCACCATGTAAATCTCCTCCTGTTAAGATGGTTAAATATATATTTCCTCCCAAATGCAGTGGCTCTCCTCCGTCAGTGCATTTTGTGATTCTCCCCATTTTCTCTGCAAAGGCTGACTCTCCCTGATGGAGGTCCCCCGGGTGACTGATGGGACAAGGATGTGGGCTTTTAAGGTGCGTGGAGGTGATCTGTGTAGTTAAGCTGGGGTCAGAGCAGTGGATGAGGAGTGTTCCTACACCCAAGCCACAGAGGCTGCTCTAACCCATGGAGCCCCCATGGTGGTTTTATCCTGTTCAAAGAGGCAGAGGAGGATCCTGATGGGAAAAGAGAGCAGATGGGGACTCCGAATGAAATGTTTCCAGTAGTACATTTGCTCTGGTCACCGACTCTTATGTAATAGACAACAGAGTGAAAGGCGAGAGTATGGAAGAGAAAGGGCCAGGTATTAGCGTTACTCTGTTGTGAAACCAGGGCTTTTGTAAATCTGCCCTGTAGGTAAGCTCCCTGAGGGTGAGAAAGACCATCTTTGAGTTTTGTAGCCTCAGTCCAAAAGATGTTTCTCATGACATCTGATCTTAAGGCAGGCAGTTCGCCATCATTTCAGGGCTCACTCTGAGGTGGCTGGTAATTTGCTTCCCCCACCCCCACCCCCCCCACCCCACCCCCGACATCGTTGGATTCTCAGTGAAGGAAGTAGGTGTCTGACCCTGGAGTCTGTTCTGGTGTGTTTGGTATTTCAGCCAATCTCACAACACAGGGTATCTTTGTTGTATTTATCACAACCCTAATTTCACTGACAAGGTTGCTGAGATCCAAGAAGACATACATACCTACTTGTCCAAGGTCACCCAGCTAGTAAGTGATGCAGCTGGTATTTTCTCGGCCTCCAGACCTCTGTTCTCTCCAGTCTCCAGGCTGCATCCTTGTTTCCATTAAGACTGAGAAGAGCCACGCCTGCCTTAGAATTGTCTTATTAGCTTGGGCCATACCCAGCATTTAGCTTTTGTGGGGAACCTTTCTTTTTAGGTGAAAGGGCCACAGTGAGCACCTCTCCACTGGACTGTTTGGGGTCCCACAGACCCCACTGGCAGTGTTTAATTTTTGGGAAATGTCAGTTGCCATTTCCTGCAGAGAAAGGTCATGGCCAAACGTTTCCGACCCGAGTCCATCTCCCAGCGGCTCCTCTGACAGCAGGAGAGAAGAGTCAGAGGCAGTCTGGGGAGGCTGGGACATCAGGCTGATCACAAACACATGTGTGAGTTACTTGGTTGGCTCTTCAGTAGCTTAAGTGACAGTCATTCAATTTGGGGATGAAAGACAACAGTCCTGCTAGACTTTTCTAAAGGTCAGTGAGCCTGCCCATGTGTGCGGAATCGGGCTGGTAGTATCCCTGACCTCACAGAGCAGTGACCTTTGCTGTAAGCCTGCTTTTGCACACGGGTTTTAGAGTGTGCATCTAAAGTGCATTTTAGGGGTGTTTTGTTTTTTTTTTTCAGATGGCAGATAAATTTCCCTGACCTACTCCTTCTTTAGGGGATGGAGTTGCATAGGACTCTGGAGATGAGAAGTAGGAGACTCCACCCAGAAATTTCACTTTGATATATTCTGGAGGATGGTGACCACAAGTATTACAAGCTTTCCTGAGTCAGCTCTATTACCATTATTGTATAAAACTCAAGTCCAGTGTTCTTGCCTGGAGAATCCCAGGGACGGGGGAGCCTGGTGGGCTGCCGTCTATGGGGTCGCACAGAGTCAGACACGACTGAAGCGACTTAGCAGCAGCAGCAAGTTACTGAGAAGAATGAACCGAGAGTAATCCTCAGAAAACTAAGGATGATGTGTTACTGATTGGGACATTCGAGTGGAATTTTGTTTTTTAGCCAGACTGCTGTAGTTTTCCAAAAATCAGCTGTCAACAGAGAAGCGCCTTGTCATACTGTCATCACAAGGCACCGGGGTGACTAGATGTTGTTGTTTAGTCACTAAGTCATCTCTGATGCTTTGTAAGCCCATGGACTAGAACCCGCCAGGCTTCTCTGTCCATGGAGTTTTCCAGGCAAGAATATTGGAGTGGGTTGCCATTTCCTCCTCCAGGGTATCTTCCCAACCCAGGGATCGAACCAGCATCTCCTGCATTGGCAGGCAGATTTTTTTTTACCACTGAGCCACCAGGGAAGCAGGGTGACTAGATGATGAGTAAGTACTCAGTCCGGGTGGTTGGCTTTTTGCATGAAAGCAGTCAGAAAAGCCCTGTTGGCCCTTGACCGCAAATGGACTTGCATGTAATTTGGAAGGCTTCAGGAGTGAAGATGCGAGATTGAGGTCAGTTGTCCAAAGGGCTTTGCTTCTTAGACCAGACTCAGGTCCATCTTAGTGACCAGGCTGTCTGAGAAATGCTGGCCATCATGGTCTTTGCCTGCCCACCATCACTGTGTTTTGCTCCAGTGCTCAGAGACAATCAGACAAGCCCTGGAGCTCATTGTGAACATATTAATTATGTTCTGTTTCCACAGGCTTTTCAGGAGGGTTTAATTGCTTTGCATTTATTGGCCTATTTCGAAAATGCTTCTCACGTTGGGGGGGATGCTAGCATGACACCCTTCCCCCCACTCCCAAGTAGTGTACCCCAAAGTGCCCCAGTCCTGGGGGGCTCCAAGATCAGCCTGGGGAGGGCTGCTGAGTTTGCTCTGCCCTTTCGGTTACCTCCTAAGAATTATTTTTTGGTGAAAACAAGCAAAGTGCCTGCTAGCTCAGAGCAGACACCACGGGAATATGGAAGAGCAGTGAGTTAAGGCGGCTGCTGGGGAGCCCATTCTGGTGGAGTGGTTGCATTGCCGCAGCACTGGCCCGGCCTCGGCATCCTGCCTCTCTCTTGGGGTCTTGGGAGTTTCAGGATCCACAATGATTTGGTTAAATCCAGCCGTGCAGATTCCAGGCGCTCTGAATGGCCAGGAAGGGGTGGGGGTGGGGTGGACACTGAGGCAAGAATAAACAGTTCTGAGCATAAAGTGCTTCAGCTCCTCCCTGCCGACACCCCTCCCCTCTGGAAGGTTGAAGCAGACAGTGTCCCTATTCTTTCCTGACCTTCTGCTTTCCACACCCATTCTTTACTCAGCCTGCAAACAAGCGGCTGTAATCATCTTAGGTGGCGAGATAATGTGGACCAGGGCACAGGGGGGCCATGGCTGCGGGATGAGCTGGCACTTGTAAACAATGGCTGAGCCCCCCTGTGCCTTCTGAGCCTCAGCTGGGACTCTGCGGAGGAACACATTTCCATTGACGGGAGGGAAAGGAGGTGGATTATTTGTATATTACAGTAGACAGTAGTTAAGGGTCTGCAACTCCCAGAGGAGAGAATTATTGCAACAGTAGCCAGCTGACTGCTCACTGTCTAAATTGAGTCTGTTTAAAGAGGGAGTGATTAAAGTAGGACTAATGATTGATTTTAAGTTGTTTAAAGGGAATTAAGGTCTGATAAGATCATCAGTATGATCAAGGGTTTTCATCACTTTTACTATGAAACCAGGGATTTGGTTTTTATATTTGTGGATAAACTATCCTCAAAGAGATTTTCTTTGACATTTTAATCTCGGCTTATTCTAGTGCATACATGGAACCTCATTATTTCTTAAATCTGATTTTACATATATATATATGTATATGTGTGTGTGTGTGTATATATATATATATATGACACACACACACGGGACTTCCCAGACAGCACTAGTAGTAAAAGAATCTGCCTGCCAGTGCAGGGAGATGCAAGAGTCGGGTTTAATCCCTGGGTCGGGAAGATCCCCTGAAGAAGGAAATGGTACCTAGTATTTTTGCCTGGAAAATTCCACAGGCAGAGGAGCCTGTTGGGCTCCAGTCCATGGGGCCACAGAGAGTTGGATGCTCCTAAGCACACATATACACACTCATGAGTATAAAATAAAGCTTGATTTGTTATCTGCAGGTGAAGAGGAATAGTTGGGGAGCTCACTAGTACTTCAAGGTTTCATGCTATACAGAATTTGAAAAGTATATTTAGTTAAAGCTAAATTAGCTTTTTAATGAGAATGATCTAACATTTGAGTATCTGACAGACCTGTTGTTAATTCAATATAAAACTTGATTAAGGGAAATTTTCTCCTTATTATCTGTATTAAAAAACAACAGTTTTCTGCTCTTGCTTACCGTGTGTAAATTTAGTCTACCAGAAACATTATATGTTCTCCTTGATTGGGTTTGTTAAGCATTTAAATGGCAGACATCTTTAAAGTTCTTTGATATAATGTTTTCTAGATTAGAACATGCTGTCAGAAAATTAATGTGATGTTCGTTTGAAAAATCGCTCTCCCATCATGACCCTAATCTGAATAATCACAGTTTTTGCTTTTCAAATGTCTGCTTCCTGCCTACATGGTTTGTAATTTGCCTTTCTTATAACTTCTTTTCACTGAACCTGAAAATTGCTTTTTTCAAGGCTCTTTGAAAAGCGTTGAAACCCTGGCCTCATCCTGTCTCTGCAACAGACAAGTGTTGCAACAGACAAGCCATTTAAACTTTTAGGGTTTCGGTATGCTCATTTTAAAAATGGAGGGTATTAATACCTTTTCTGCCTACTGCAGTGCTTTGATGAGGACCAGTTGCGAAAATGAATATACCTGCACATTGACAATGTCAAGTTGTAAACATTAGCTTGCTGTTATTATTTTGTGCTGACAGGCTTTTTGCAAGTGTGATTTAAAGCTTCTTGTTTCACGTGTTCTGGTGGTTGCTGATAACTTCTCCCATTTACTGGAAAGAGTTATGTGTGTGGAGCCAGAGAGCCTGGGTTTGTAGCTGGACTTCCAGTTATCAGCCGAGAGACTTTGGGTGTGTTCACCAGTGTGGGTTTGGCCTCTTTGTCCATTTTGTGAGGGCCCTGTGTCCCTGCAGGCTTATTGTAGGCTTAGTAACGAAGGCGAAGTGCTTGAGAAAGGGTGTCTGCTGGTCCACAAATTTAGATAAAATATGAGTTATAAAAGCAGTGATTCAAATACATGCAATTACAATCTCTTCCTAATTTTCTTTTCAAAGCGACTAATGTTAGTGGTTATTTATGCCAAGAACTATTAGCTGTTTACATCTGGCCTGCTGGGTGATCTGGAGGTGTGGGTACATCCAGCCCTGGAACAGGCTTTTTCAGTCCACAGTGGGGGTGCAGGTGTCTGTAGAACATAACTAGCATTTAATGGTACGGTTGATGAAGAGCCCCCCATTACAAAATCTGAAAAACCAGAGAACATTTTTTTATCTGGAAGTCATACTGTATGTTTTTTTATGACTGTCACATTTTAAAATTCATGTTTGAGTAATAGGTAATTTTCAGCATTAATGACTTGACAAGCTTTCTAGAAGGAAAGGGCTGCCCTGGTGGCTCAAATGGTAAAGAATCTGCCTGTAATGCAGGAGACCCGGGTTTGATCCCTGGGCTGGCAGGATCCCTTGGAGAAGGGAATGGCTACCCACTCCAGTATTCTTGCACAGAGAATCCCATGAACTGAGAAACCTGGTGGGCTACCATCCATGGGGTCACACAGAGTCGGACACAACTAAGAGACTGACACTTTCAGTGGAAGGAAAAGCATTTGCACAGTTTCTTCATAAACAGAATGCCCAACACCATTGGATATTTGTGGGTACCCCTGGATATGTATAGTGATTATTGCTTTTGTTGAACTATTTTTATTAGTTACACAGTGTAATAATTAACTAACTGTATTCAGACACCTCTACATAGATTAAGCTTTTTCTCAAAGTCAAATCAGATTTGCAGAAGGGACCTGAGAAGCTTGACCTTGATTTTGAAGATTCAGGACTAACTCTACTCTTTATGGGAGGAGGACATGCATAGGCCTGTTGGAAAGCTTGTAGGCTGTGGTGGCTGGTCCCTTCCGGCGTGGGTTGGGTTAAGGGCAAGGCTTTCATGGCTCAGTGGGGATTCGGCGTCAGAAACAACCTCTTTGCTGTGGGTTGAAAGGCCCTTCCTGAAGTTGGTGTGTTCTCCAGGCCTCTGAAGAGCCCAGCCTGTCCATTCTGTCCACTGTCTGGCCTCTTATGTTCCACCCAGTAAACCCCAATTCCAGGAAACTTTCCTACTGGGACAAGATTTATAGGAGGGGTCCTCCATGAAGAAAAAAAAAAGGCAATGAAACTTGCTTATGTGTCATAACATTTTCAACATTAAGATTTACCTTTTTTAAAAGATTTTTCAATGTGGATCATCTTTAAAGTCTCTATGTGTTATAATATTGCATCTGCTTTACGTTTTGTTTTTTTGGCCTCGAAGCACATGGGATCTTAGCTCTTTCTCCTCGACTAGGGATCAAACCCACACCACCTGCATTGGAAGGCAAAGTCTTAACTACTGGAGGCAATTCCCTAAGATTTACCTTTCTTAAGACACATAAGAACATCTTATTTTTTATATATATAATTTTTTTTTTTTTGCCCCACTGCATGGGATCTTAGTTCTATAACCAGGAATCGAATCCATGCCCCCTGCATTGGAAACACAGAGTCTTAACCGCTGGACCATCAGGGAATTCCCAAACATCTTTTATTTTTGATGAGATTGTCGCCACTGGTGCAGAAATTCTGTAAGAATCTTTAGCAGACAAAAACATTTTATTCCTTTGACTACTAGGAAGTTGGTAAAGCTTTCATTTTTAACACCTGCTCCCCGTGATGGGCCATTGAAAGGGGCCCCACTTGGAGCCATGGTCAGCTGAGTGGGTCGTGTTCTTGGTCAGGTGGTGTGGACAGAGTGGGAGAACCTGCAGGCGGCCTTTGGGAGAATCAGATGCCTCACATGTGCCTTTCCCCTACAGCTGCGGGCTGCACACGGGTGGGGTTGGCTGGACAGTAGTTTTCACCCTGTTCGTGCCAATTTGTTATTTTTCCACAAGGGCTCCCAGTTCATTTGGTACACATCTCCTATGTGATCTTATAAAGGATAAAATAATCTGCAGGAGGTTTACTACTAGTCAATTTCTTGTCTACCTGAGGCTCTGATGTTGGGAAACTCTTTTCTTTATTGTAAGTAAATCCCTGGTTTTTAAGAATAAATGCAGGATTAGCGAGGGTGGCCAGGCTCCAGGAACAAACTGAATAGAATGAGAGCTGATAAGTTAGGGTGTCCGTGTTTGGGAGTGTTTTTTTCCTTTGCGCCTCGGTGTTAGTTGAACAAAATAAATGGGAATGAGGGCTTCCCTGGTGGTCCAATGGTTAGAACTCTGCTTTCACTGCCGAGGGCCTGGGTTCTATCCCTGGCTGGGGACTAAGATCAAACAAGCAACGTGACAGAGCCAAAAAAGAAAAGATGACCAAGAGTATCCTAGTGTGGAGGCATTTACACCATCAGGTATGAAACTAATCAAGACAATTCCTAGTATGCTTTTCTTAACCTCCCGCCTTGTAAGCTGTTCCTCGCTGAAGCCTTTATTATAGAAAATATACCCTTCATGCTACTGCCGTGTCTGTGAGTTTGGGAAGAGTTGTCCATGATCAGGCTACAAGACTGGAACAAAGCAATGTGAGCTGATGTCCAGTTTGCATCGTGTTTAGGAGCTGGTCTTTCTAGGTGGTGACCAAGGTTCAAGTGTATTCATTCCACAGACATGTACTGAGGGCCTGCTCTGTGGCTCATGCTGGGAGACTCCAGGTGTCTGCTTTCCTGGTGCTTACCTTCCCGTGTGGGTGACGGATGAACAGTAGGAAGAAACATATTAGATGGTGGTAGGAGCTCGGAGGGGCTTTAAAGTGGCGCTCGTGGTAAAGAACTTGCCTGCCATGCAGGAGATAGAGAGGCGGGTTCGATCCCTGGGTCAGGAAGATCCCCTGGAGAAGGAAAAGGGAACCCACCCCAGTATTCTTGGCTGGGAGAAATCCCATGGATAGAGGAGCCTGGCAGGCTACACTCCATAGGGTTGCAGAGTCGGACATGACTGAAGCGACTCAGCACAGCGCAGATTGGAGGGGCAGGGCCTGGGGCTAGAGCCGGTGCAGGTAGGGGGCATTGTGTGCCTTCTGACCCATCTACCTACCGTGAGCTTGGCCACGAACTGGGGAGGAGCTCTTTAAGGAGAAACCATCACAGGTCACCTGCCTCCTGCGCCTGGACCCTGGGAGAGGGCAGGCTGGTGCTGAGGGAGGGGGCAGCTGTGGCTCCCTAAAGAAGGATGGAGGCGGGATGAGCATGGTGGGTGGAGCCCTGGGGGAAGAGCCCCCAAGGTTGGATATTGAACTGACAGCACTGCGTTGGCTGGGAGGGAAGGGAGGGAACCAGGAGTAACTCCCAGGTTTCTTCTGTATCCCAGTGTCTTCATGTTGATCCCAGAGTGGAGTGGAGATGGGAGATGAAGGGCAGGGGAATGGAAAAAACCAAACCGATGTGTATTTGAAATAGCACACAAGGTTTTATCTTTAGAATCATGAGTCACGTAGTTCCAAGATTGGTGTGGCGGGACAGCATTTTAAGGACATTTGCGGGTGTGTTATAATTCCCGGGCAATTCATAGGGATGAGCCCCCTGAAGTTTGTTCTTTGCAGGCAGTGTCTGACTCATCTTACTGCCTAGCTTGTGTCTTAGAGACACAAGTTTAGGTCAGCGTTTGGTTTGAATCTAGGGTTTGATTACCTGCAGAGATGGCATCATTTATGATGAGGATTCTGTAAGGAAAGATTGGGAGTGGGGTAAATGCTGAGAGGCTGCGATGACTAAGCCATGCTCGTTTTTGGTTTTTGGATCCACGAGACCTGAACAGACATCTGGTGATGCTGTCTTGTGTGAGAATTTCCGGAGTCCCCGGGCTGTATCGCACACGTGTTTCCGGAAGTCCACAGGTGACTGCAGAAAGTTCACAGTACTGCAGGGCAGGGGTGGACGGGCGACTTCGTCCTGTCCCATAGACCTGGCTTCTCAGTGCCCTCTGTCTGGCTTGTGTAGGATGAGTTGGATGAACTCCGGGCGGAAATGGAAGAGATGAGAGACAGTTACTTGGAGGAGGAGGTTTACCAACTGCAGGAGCTGCGGCGGGAGCTGGACCGCGCCAACAAGAACTGCCGAATCCTGCAATACCGCCTCCGGAAGGCCGAGCAGAAGAGGCTGAAGGTGGCAGAGACCGGGCAGGTGGACGGGGAGCTTATCAGGAGTCTGGAGCAGGACCTGAAGGTGAGCGCAAGGCAGACAGTGGGCGGGATGTGCCTTACCCAGAGAAGCCGGGGTGGGGGGTTTAGTTTCCGTACAGTTTTACAGGTTTGCCTCGAAGGTGTCTTAGAGATCCAGTTTAGGTCAGCGTTTGGTTTGAATCTAAAGTTTGATTACAGAGATGCAGAGATGGCATCATTTATGATGATGATTCCGTAGGAAAGATTAGGAGTGGCATAAATGTTGAGAAGGCTGTAAGAGCTGAAGTGCAGCCCTCAGGACCCACTTACACATGGTCTTTTTTTTTTTTTTTAATTTATTTATTTGGCTGTGATGAGCCTTAGTTGTGGCACATGAGATCTTCATAATCTCACTCGAGATAATCTTCATAATCTCTTGGGCTTCTCTTGTGGCTCAGCTGGTAAAGAATCTGCCTGCAGTGCAGGAAACCTGGGTTTGATCCCTGAGTGGGGGAGATCCCCTAGACAAGGGAAAGGCTACTCACTCCAGTATTCTGGCCTGGAGAATTCCATTGACTCTATAGTCCATGGGGTGGCAAAGAGTCGGACACGACTGAGTGACTTTCACTCATTCACTCACATGAAATCTCTAGTTACTGCCAGGACATGTGGGATCTTAGTTTACAGACCAGGGATGGAACCCATATCCCCTGCAATGCAAGGATGCTAACCCCTGGCCTACCAGGGAAGTCTACTTACACATGCTCTTGATGTTCTGCAAAGTGTTTCTCTCTTTCAACAGATTTTAGCTTAAACATTCTTTGTCGTTTGATGGCTTGTAGGGTATGTGTAGTCATATGGCTTTGACAGACCAAGATTTAAATCCCCCATATAAATTGGAATCTTAAACCACCCCTGCCAAAAGAATAAATAAATCATAGATCTTCAATTTAAAAAAAAAGAATTAATACCTGCCCCCACTGGTCTTTAGAAATTATGCAGAAACTCCTAAAGATCTGGAATATTTTAAAAAATTGATTCATTATCAGTTCAGTTTTAGTCAAAGACCACTTTTAAAAGTTGACCCTAGTCACGTAACATTTTTTGTTAAGTTTCTAGGGTGCAGAAATGCTGAAATTACCATAACCCAAGTAAGACTTGTAGTGGTGACTTAACTGAAAGAGAAATAGGGTCATAACTAATTGTTTAAAGTGTCTTTGAGAATCATTGGCAGAAATGGGAGTAAGGTGAAAATACCCCAGACTTTCTTCCATTTGTCCTTTCCACTGTGGCCTCTCTCCTGCGCCAGTTATCAAATCATTTATCTAGAGATGAATTATGTATAATGTCCTTCTTATTATCGGAGTCCCTATGAAATCTCATTTAGCCTTTCATTACAATAACAGGAAAAGAATCTTTGTAACTGAGATTTATAAACCAATAACAAGATGTCATTCAGTGTGATGTAAAGGTGATTTATATTTCTGTTACAAAATCTCCTTAGTTCCTTTTAGACAGTGAAAATGTTGAACTGCCTTTATAGCATTCGAATGTTTTACTAGAGTAGGCAATTTGAAACCTGACTATATTAAGTATCTACTGAATACAGAATTATTTTTTTAAGCAAGTAGGGTTCTTTAAAAATTATTTTGAGAAACAGAAATGTTTGATGATCTTTTAAAAAATTATTTGTTACTCATTTTATTTATTTATTCATTTATGGCTGCACTGGGACTTCTCTGGTGCATGTAGGTTTCTCTGGTTGTGGAGAGCCGAGGCTACTCTTCGATCCAGCATGCAGTGTGGGCTTCTCTTGTTGCAGAGTACAGTTTCTTGGTGCACAGGCCTCAGTAATTGTGGCATGTTGGCTTGCCTGCAGCTCGCAGGCTCTAGAGCACAGGCTCAGTAGTTGTGATGCATGGGCTTAGTTGCCCCAAGGCAGATGGAATCTTCCCAGACCAGGGATTGAACCTATGTCCCCTGCGTTGGCAGGCAAATTCTTGACGAGTGGACCACCAGGCAAGTGCAATGATCATTTTTAATTGACCATTTAAAGCATGTGCTCCTGGGAAGATTTGGCATTCTAAGCAATATTCCAGAAGGAGCAGGGCTGTGGCAAAGTGGCCTTTTAATCCAGATGAAAGTCATACTTCCCCTTAATGTGGATTTCATGTTTTAAACTAATATCCCTTCCTTGAAATGTAGGCTTGTTAATATTGCCAGGATCTTTGCTCTCTGGTGCAACACAATATTCCTTAGTGATTCTGCCTCTGAAGTGGTTTGGAGGTGCCCTTAGCACACAGAAGGCTTCCCATCAGATGACTGTGTCTGTGGGTTGATGCAGGTGGCCAAAGACGTGTCGGTCCGATTGCACCATGAACTTGAAACCGTGGAGGAAAAGAGAGCTAAAGCGGAAGACGAGAATGAAACTCTCCGACAGCAGATGATCGAAGTGGAGATATCCAAGCAGGCCCTGCAGAACGAGCTGGAGAGACTGAAGGAGGTGAGTCAGGTGGATGGGGGCTTGCCCCTTGCGAACATGGGACTCCCAAGTGTCCTATTCTTTTTTTTTTAATTTAATTAATGTATTTGCACTGGGTCTTCATTGCTGCACGTGGGCTTTCTCTAGTTGTGGCGAGCAGGGGCTATTCTCTAGTTGAAGTACACGGGCTTCTCATTGCAGTGGCTTCTCTCATTGCTGAGCACAGCCTCCAGGCCAGCAAATTTCAGTCGTTTCAGCATGCAGGCTCGAGAGCTCCGGCTCAGTAGTTGGGGCATGTGAACTCAGTTGCTCTGTGGCTTCCAGGTGTCTTGGTCTTACTCGTGGTTTAAGGCAGGGGACGGCCAGCTACTGTTTGTATGGCCTGGAAACTAAGGATGATTTTTACATTTTTCATAGACTTGGGAAAAAAGTACAAAACAAACCTGAAAAAGCAAAGATGATGTGATAGAGGCTGTGTTGCTTGCAAAGCCTGAAATATCTGCTCTCTGACCCTTTACGGAAAAGGCTTGTTGAACCCTGGTCTCAAGCTATTTTTTTATAATTTCCATTCCAATGAGCTGGCTGTTAGTTCCCTTTATGGGTCCATGCGGGATGTATTATTACTAGAATACAAAATTAGGCAGTCTCTTTTTTCTCGAGAGCCTTCTCTTCCAATGAGCTGGAAAATATGTTGTGCTTGTCCATTATCTGTGTCAACAGATGTGGGCGTGTGCTGCCTGTGTCTGTTATGCAGCCAATATGATTTAAATATAGATTTCTTTTACATTTTAGGGAGTGAATGTGTTCTAGCAGAGAGGTCTAGACAATGGATACATTTTTTTTTTCATTTGCAACGGTAATGCAAATCTCATTTTGTTGTTAACGTCCAGTATAAGATTAAAGCTGAATGTCCTCTTGGAAAATATCCTGCGTATTGATGAAGGTACAAATGGTGGTGAGGGTTTGAGATGATGGCTAAAAAGCCAGCATATTACGTGCCAACACTTAGCACTTCATGGTTCCTTTGGATTCACTTCATGATTCAGCTGCTAAGCCATCTACTGCTCCACCCACACGTCACTCAGACACTGGACTGGGCCCTGGGGAGGCAGATGCCCTGCCTTCAAGGTGTTTACTGAGCCAACATGTTATGGATTTGTGTAAATTCTGTGTATGTTGCCACTTCCATGAAAACACTGCGTATTCTATTTCTTTGTCTTGTCACTGTTCCCCTTCGCGAATGGCCCCGTGGGACTTGGGCTCTATGGACCAGGTTCTGTCTGTCTGGGTCACTGTGGGGGTGCCCACAAGGGCCTGGATCCCAAGGGTTGTCGGGGACTTTCTGGGTGAGTGCAGGATGGAGGTGAGATCTTCACAGGGGAGGAGATGGGGAGCCTGGAAGGTTCTCTCCTGGTTGATGACCCTCCTCTGGCTCATGCATCTCCCCTCTACACTTATGCATCCTAATTACCTTCTTCCCTCTTTTCCCTTTGGTCCGAGTTTGCTAGGAGGCAGGCTGTAATGGTTTCTTTTCCCGAGATTTCCAGTTTGAGCCTGACCTTGAGGGTACAAAAGACAACTTTGAAGTATATTTTGTAAGTTTTGTTTGTTTGTTTGTTTGTTTTATTTTGTAAGTTTTATATGCATGTATGTTTTATGTATGGACTTCCCTAGTTGCTCAGTGATAAAGAATCTGTCTGCCAATATAGGAGATGCAGGTTCAATCCCTGGGTTGGGAAAATCTGCTGGAGGAAGAAACGGCAACCCACTCCAGTATTCTTGCCTGGAGAATCCCGTGGACAGAGGAGCCTCGTGGGCTACAGTCCAGGGGTTGCAGGAGAGTCAGACATGACTTGGTGACTAAACAACAGCAACGTTTGTGTATAAATATATAAATTATATACATAATATTCCCCGGGATGGGGAATACATGTAAATCCATGGCTAATTCATTTCACTGTATGACAAAAACCACTGCAATGATGTAAAGTAATTAGCCTCCAACTAATAAAAATAAATCAAAAAATAAAATAAAATAAAAATAAAACAAAACAAAACAAAACAAAAAAATATGTATATTTAAAGCAGGCAGGGATTCTTTATCCCCAGCTGAAATGGATTTGTGAAGGACCTGACATCAAGTCACAAATAGCTCTTTGGGGAGAGGAATGACCATTGATGTTGGAGGCTCAGTCTGATCGTGAGGAGGGGTGAGGGGTCAGCGCCTCCCTTTCTTTACGGCTTAAAATTACTCAGAGGGGTCCCTCCCCTGGAACACAATCATTGTGCTCTTACCTCCAGAGTGGCAGTCAGACTGGTGGGGCTGCATTCTGACACCGAAATGCTCAAGGAGTCACGAGACTGAGAGTCTGAGGAGGGTCGGGGGCTGGTGGGCTGTTCTGGATGCAGCAGGGTGCACCGATTCAGAGGTAAGGCCGGAGATGCTTATCGGATCATTCGAGCCGGGGTCTCCGTGAATGGCTCCTTTGTACTAAAGCCAGAACGGACTTAGCTGTGGGTTTCACTCTAGAGGGAGGATACTGGTGATCGTTCACCCCTGAGGGCTGGTAAATGAATGACGAGCCACATTCTGAGAAGGTCCAGAGCGGTTTGTGCGTCTCCACCACAGGCCTGGGTGTGGATGTGTCTGTGCCCTGGCCTCGGAGGACGGTGAGACGGGGTATCTCTGCGTCCCGCAGCTCCGTGGCTGCGGCATCTCTGCAGACCGTGCTTTCAGGGTCTGGGGGACTCCTCCAGAGTGGGTGTTTCCTCGCTCTGCAAACGCACTCTGTCCAGGAACAGACTTGTCCCCTTCACCCCCTCCTGCACCACGCTCTTGTCTTCCCAGCTGTGTTAAGGTGCCGCTGTCCTTAAGTCTCCCAGGCTTAATGGCTGGCAGTTATCTTTACCCTTCCTGCTCCCCACTCTCAGTAGCCTGCCGCTCCGAGTTCTTGGTCTTAGTAATTCTTTCTCATTGGTATATGCTACGGAGTTGAACCTCAAAATTATACCAAGTGAAAGAAGCCAGGTGTTGTACCAGTACATTTATCAGAAACGTTCAGATAGACAACAGATTAGGGTTGGGAAGGAGGGAGACTGACTTGGGTTTCCTCTTGGGCGATGACAAAGTTTTGGAACTGGGTTGAGGTGGTTTGCACAACATTGTGAATGTACCAAAGGCCACTGGACTGTACACTTTAAAGCAGTTCATTTTAACCTCAATTAAACTTTGTGACTGTCTTCTATCTGTTCTTTTACCCATCTCTCCAATGAATATTTTGAGGGCTGACACTCCAGTCACCACATTGAGGGATGCAGCACTTCTAACTGCCCCCTTTTCTGTTTTACCTTCTGTATCCCCCCAGTCCGACAATTTGATCATGGCTTAAACAGACAAACTTGCCTTGACCCCAGTTGTCTAGCCCTTTAGCATGTCACAGGTCCTTTCCTGCCTGGTCAATCCCGGTTTCCCACCCCAAGGCACTAAACCCTGCAGTGAACTTAAAGGCAGCTGAGAAGGATGGGAAGAGACATGCCCTCTGGGCCTCGAACTCCTAGAGCTGTGTCACTTTCTCCATGGATAGATGAGATGCTTAAAGAGGGCTGGCAGGATTAACCCTCTGGAATTGTCCCTTCTGGTCAGCCAGCTTGCTGACTTCCTGTGCTGTTCACATCATGTCCATGCACCCAAACTCCCATATACCCCTTCACTTGTGCAAAACTCTAGTTTTTTGACCCCCCTTTTGGGTACATTTCTTCTAGTAGTCTCTCTCTGATGGAATATCTCAAAAAGGTTGAAACGGTCAGCCTTAGTTGACTTTGAGCTTCATAAAGATGGCCCAAGTACTTTCACTGTATTTCTTTCTACCAGAAGGTTTCTTAAATACACACTAGACACAAATAATAACTGGCCAGTTAATCGGCACTTTCAAGAGGGGCGGGGGCAAGTTCTGGATCCTAACAGGGAACTAGGGCTGGTGGATGGAGCCACAGGGAACCAACTAGCTGTCAGATCGCTCTTGTGGGACATCCTTCATCACTATTCAGGACATGATATTGATTCTCTGGGTTTGGCTGAGACTCCTTTGTGCCAAATAAATGATCAGATTTTATAACTTCCTGTTTTTAAATTAGTCTATTTTAGTTGCACTGGGTCTTTGCTGCTGTGCCTGGGCTTTCTCTAGCTGCGGTGAGTGGGGGGGGGCTCTTTGTTGCAGTGCACAAACTTCTCATCGCAGTGGCTTCTCCTGTTGTGGAGCGCCAGCTCTAGGGCTGGTGGGCTCAGGTTCCCTGCAGAGTGTTGAATCTTCCCGGATCAGGGATTGAACCCGTGTTCCCTGCCTCGGTAGGCAGACCCCTATCCACTGAACCACCAGGAAAATCCTTGTAACTGTTTTATGAGTCCTTGAGAGGAATATGTATGCTCCAGTTTTGGGATGAAGACTTTGAATCCATTAGATTGAAGACGTTCCAGCTTGAATGATACTTACAGCAGAAAGGACACTTTATGTCATCACTCAATATACAGGTCAAAAGTTTTCACAAAGTAATGCTTATTTTTTGCCATATGGGATGTATTCTGGTATTTTCAATTCTGTTCTTTTTTTTTTTTAATGGTGTTTGTAAGTTCAGATCCATTACTAGATTGCCACAATTTGGGGAAAAAATGTGTATCAGATCACTTGTTAATTGTGTTGTTCAAATTTTCTATGTCCTTTATAGTTTTGTCTAAATACCTCTTTAGGATAAAGATATATTAAAATCACCCATTATAATTTTACGTTTAAATTTTCTTATATTCTGTCAAACTTTATTGATTTTGAATATGAATTCATAAAGATTTAGAACCTTTATTTGGTAATGAATTGTTCCCTTTATCTTTTCATAATGACCTCTTTATTCTAATGTCTTGCTTTTTCCTGTTAAGCCTACTTTGTCTGCTTTTATTATCCATGCCAAATTTCTTTTAGTTAGTATTTGCCTCATACAGACTTTTTGGTGATTCTCTTCTATTATTTCTG